ATTTAAATGGTTATGTTTTCTTATAGTTTATTTATAAGGCTGTGGAGTGACTGGCAGATTGTGTCTCCCTCAAACTCCTTATTCACTGATAGAACAATATGGAATATATTATAGATCCATATCCTTAACCATAAAGTGCATCACAGTGGCCCAAAGGGTGTAAAAAAAAATAATATTTTATATATATACCCTATGTTCTGTGGCAGGTATCAATTAAGGTAACTGGTATGCCATAGTCCAAATTCACAGCAAGCACAACGCATTTCGACACTTGTCCTGTGTCTTCCTCAGGTGCATAAATAACTGTGTAAAGTTTGTAGCAGAACCCCTCTGGCTGTCCAACACATTTCCTTCATATTTCTTTTATTTGAACATAAAAGGTTTTCGTATGAACTTATTATAGAGACTTTCCTGTGAATGTATGTTACCTTAATAGTATTTGTTCGGTAAAAAGCCATACAAATCTGCATTGAACGGCTGCATTCACCATCCGAACCAAAGTACCGAACAACCGGACCACCCTGATGTGAAGTGTGGCTGTAATTAACCTCCCTGTTCGTCCATTACATTCCCCTGGTTAAAAAGCACGAACGCTTTGCTGTAATCCCTGGGTGGCCGCCATTTCAGCAGCCGAACACGTGGCGGCGGCCATCTTAACACTCGAACAGCTGTGTTTGGTCGTTGAGTCTCTGGAACTCAAATCGGACACTCGACTACCCGAACACCGCTAAGACCTCCAGGGCTCCAGAAATTACCGATTGAAACTCCCGTAATAGCCATATAAAGATAATAAATAAAATAGAGATGAAATGGAATTTGATATGGAAACCCTCTCTCCAAATGGTTTAGATATAGATTTTGATCTCTGTAATTACATTTAAGAATATACATTTTAGCTTCTTTGTTTGATGCCCTTAGCCTTTTAGGTATTTGCTTAATTCTAAAATAAGGCTTTAAAATGAAGTCTTTTATATGTATATTTTTTATGCTTATTTATATTTCCTTATATATGATGTCATATGGAACTTTTCCTATCCCTTTTTTATACTGTTCTATTTTTGTTCCTATGCTATGTACTACTGTCCTCATCTAATATGGAATATGGACATACTGTGAGAAGGGAAAGGAAAATGGCAGGTATTTTCTATGTTGAAAGGGACTTCCAACGAGTGTGGCACGCACATTTCCGAAAAAATGGCCACTAGAACGCAAGCGCAAATAAAATGGAATGCATGCGTACAAAAATGGCCGCCGGAAGTGATGTCAAACACACTCGCAAGTCTCGTGACGGTGGCCGCAAATGTACAAAACAAAGCTCCGCACATAAGGGGCAGAGCTTAGTACCGAATATGGCGGGAAAAATATATTTAAAAGAAGGAACTTTATACAGTAATTTATGCACCTGAGGAAGACACCGTTCGAGTGTCGAAACGCGTTGTGCTTGCTGTGAATTTGGACTGTGGCATACCAGTTACCTTAATTGATACCTGCCACAGAACATTGGGTATATATAAAATATATATTTTTTACTTTTTACACCCTTTAGGTCACTGTGATGAACTTTATGGTTAAGGATATGGATCTATAATATATTCCATATTGTTCTATGCGCTGTATACTATTTTGTATTCCTCTCTCTTTTAATTTAGCCTATCTGCCAGTATTAATAGTATTGTTTTTTTTTTATTATTTCTTCTGACCATCTCTGTACGCAGATATGCTTCCTATTGCGCGATCTTCCATAGCATCTGAAAGAATACCAGTCAGCTGCTGTAATTTTCCCAATGTCTTGTCAGATTCCTCAGAGGGTATCTGCTGTCCTTGTTCAACCCATATATTTTCTACAGCAGTCTGTCATGATGTTAATTTCCTCTCTATTAGTGGAGAAGTCTGAGGCAGGATTCTGTTGTAAATCTTGGGCAAAGTTTTTCAAGTCACCTTTCCTTTTGTTTTGGGCCCTGTGTCCTCAATATGAATGAAAGGACAAACATTACAGGTAGTCTAGTTAACTTTGCTCAAAAGATGTTCTCCTGTGGAAATCAAGTAATCCTCGGATGGGCTTTTTGTCTTATTTTCTGTAAAAAAAAAGCCTGCTTAACAGGACACTGACCTGGAGTTTCAGCAGATCTTCCTGTAGGGTTTCTAAGTGTGTGTTTTATAACCACAATACAATGTCTGTGAAAATGGAATGCAATGGATTTTTTTTATATCAGTTAGCATTGGCAGAAGAAAAGGATACAATAAAATCTTTTGACATTGTAGGATATTAATGTAAATAAAGTCATTTTAGTTTACAGGGACATCTTTAATTTAAGAGATAGCTTATGTGGAAACTTGTAAAATACCAAACCAGGCGGCACTGCCCTAGTAAACGTACTTAGTAGGGGCGCCTAATGCATTATAGGCCATGGAATAAGGATGCCCTCAAGTTGACCTCTTCATTTATAATAGCCCCTCAACTTGCAGGTGCGATATGGAGATAAGAGTCATCAAAACGTTT